TTCAGTTATGTTGATATTGTGTTGTTGGTTTTCGGATAGCATTTTGTTGAGTTTCTCTTGTGCAGCATATGCATCACCCGTGAAAATAAGACATGGTGAATTGTAACCTAGCTCTCGTAATGCAACTATTAAACGAATCCCAGCATTATCAGCCGGTGTTTCATTTTCTCGATTCATATCAGTTACAATACGAAATGTAGGGCTATTTTTCTGTCGTTCTCCAAATTTCGAACGAAGAAAAGCAATTGCTGTTTCGGTATTCGATTTTGGAATAAAATGAACATTGATTTGAGTACCAACAGTGCTTGCCTTTTCCATGTGTTCTTTATTTTCCCACCAATCGTCAAAAATATGATCGTCAACCCATAAGATTACATTTTGACAAAGACCAAGTTCCAGCTATAAAAATAAACAGATTTTCTTTCGCCACTTCCACTCTAAAATAATGCAGTTATAACAGAGGCTGACCTGTCGCAGGTGAATACGATATTGGTTGTGAATACGTTCTACCCTGCACACCATAAATGATGAATGAGGTAAAAAGAGAATTTTATCCTCATCTTCAGCACAATTTGAAAATTGTTGAATACTTCGACCAGTAAGCGAATATATGATAAAAATTGTATTACGATCATTAAACCATTCTGCAGTTTTCGAAGTTCTATTTGAACTACTAAACTGAAGCCATGTGATAAGAGCACCTGGCTGATAGTCCTCAAGCTCTTCAGTTTACAATTGAACACAACGTGTCACAATACCCCAATAGAAATTAACGTATGACAGTCCTTTAATTAGATAGTACATTATGACAACGGCTCGATCATCCATCTTAGATATTTCTACATTTGTTGATGTGTTCCGGTTTTGATTTCTGGAAACAAAAGCAGCATTTTGATTCACTGTTTCACTATATGAACCCGTATAGAATGCAATGGCGAAAGCACAAGCCTGTGCTTCATCACTACTGACGCCTTTGTCAAGAAAATAGCGCTGCGATTTTTGACTTGTGGCTAAGTGCATCTGCATATAGCCATCGTTGTCATATTTACTGCAAGCATCATAGAGACTTGCGAATGATGGCTCTTTGCCTCGTTTTACCAATGCCTCAAGTGTCGGACCAAAGTTATCTTCGAACACAGCATATTCAGTGCGTTTTTCGGCCAGTTCTGATACATTTTGATATAGAACGGTTTCCTCAATATATTTTTCAGCTTTGTCTGATTCGATTTCTGTTGAATGTAGTCTATTTTCGAAATCAGGGATAATGCCAATTAAATGCATGTAACAACAATGTGCAGCACGCGCCTTTGGGTCGTCATTATGAGCACTAGCCTCTTGAAGTTGCTTAAATAAGTCCACATTTGAATATCTATTTTTAAGGCGCTTGGCTTCGTCCTCTTTCATTACGAATTTAGTAGTTGGCTTGCTTTCGGGTGAGCCCATTTATTTAAGTTTTAGCAATCAAGATACAAGTCTAAAAAGAAATACGACAGAAAACAATCTCAAATAGTTGTCTGCCAATAAAAAACGCACATTTTACTGTAGTTAAGATAAGATGTACTTCTCTTTCATTTCTCATTCCTATTACCTTCACACAGGTGAAAGCTTGATTTGATGTCGCTGATTACCGAACATAATGTAATTCTGCAGGCTTCAATAATCCTCTTCCAGTCGGCGATTTTGTGGCACTCATGTATATCTTCGAAGAGAATGGTCAGTGTAATTTTAAAAGCGAGATACCTACGGCTCTCCAAATACTCTCTCTCTCTCTCGGTTACAAACATTGATGCGAGTACAATAGTTTGGTTGATGCTACTTTTTACTTCTTTTCATCACAGACTTTAAAAAGAAATAAAGCCTGTTTATTGCAGAGACTAGCAACTAGTCTCTACAAAAAATAGTATCACAATGAAAATATTTGAGTTTTATACTTGTTAGCTAACGACTAAAAAGTTTCAGAAAACGGCAGTCACAGCTAGAACTTTCAAAGAGTTTCATAAAGCACCTTTGGTTTTAGAGAGTAGATGCTAACAAAAATTAATCTTGGCTGACAAAGAACAATCTTCAAGCGTACCATACTTATACAGAACAAAAACGAGATTACAGACTGTTTATACGATTTTTATCCCACTTATACTTTATTCGTATAATTGAGTCTATCTTCGGTTTTCACTAAGCAACAATATATAAGATGATCAAGCAGACTGAAGAAAAAAGTGCATTGAGCATGATAGATAATAACATAACAGAAGCAGGACATAAGCCTATATATTCAGAAGATAGATCTTTATGAATGCATATTAAGAACATGTAAGCCATAAGATTTCTCATCGAAATATGTTTTGAACTTTTTATCAACCATTTGCACTTGCATTCTGCCTATAGTAAATGTTTAGTAACATCATCAGGCAGAATATTGATTTCGTTTACATCTAACACAGCACTATTAAACAAATAATTGCACTCAAAGATATCACGTGGGACTTTTTATTTTCTCTTAAAATCAGTCATACAGATATTGCAACATTTTCTGCAGATAGATTGACTAAAGAATCAGAAATGTAGCCTATACTTTCATTCTGAACAGCTTCAGCATTGATGTAGACTTGAAGTGTTGGTCATACACATTCCGGCATTTGTTGCACTGCTAATGTTGATTATCTTGAATTTGATCGAAAAGAAAAATGTCGAAACTGAGGTGATACTTCCGTATATTTGTTTCTTTGTCAAAATGAATCAGCTAATAGACTTAATTAAAACACAACGTTTATTATTAAAAGAAGACTAAAAGACAGTCTAAAACGTTTTTGGGAATGATTGTTAATCCATCTGTTAGGGATCCCTGTGCCTTCTTGATGTTAATAACGAATGAGTACCATAACGATGAAACGAACTTTATCATTGAAGAAAGATGAGTATACATAGAGGGAATATGTGTCAAGGAATGAGTATACAAATGTCGATGAGTCAAGGAGTAAACATATGACTGCAACATCCTCTTTAAACAATGCTCTATCTGTTTAATTAAAACTTCTTTTTTTACCATAATTAAAGACAAACTTTTAAGGAGTTCACATACTGTAATGATATAGTTGCTATATAGCTGTGTCAGGCAGAATTGAGTTTTAGGCAAAATTAAACCATACTTTTTTAAATTTCAATTTAATGTGGCATCCAATGAAAAAATTAAAAAAACTGTCTACGATAAATAGAGTTTCTAAGACACAAAGTGAATTAAAACTTAACAATATAAGTTTTAATAGTTGAATGGGTATCGACAAGATAACTCGTATATGTTTGAAGAGGATGCACAGCTAGGTAACTTTGCGTAATGAGAACGATATCTTGTTTCGGAAGATGTAGAGTTCGCTATATTGCGGAAAAGAAAACTAACTTGAATATAAGATGTAGATTTTGATATAGGCTATACTTCAAATAGTATTAGTGATCGAAGATGGACTTCTTTCTGTAGTATCATACTTTTCAAAGTCAGATTGTTCAAAAAAAATCATTTGTTCTTTTAGGATAATCTTTTATTCCTGATGGTAATGATACAGTTTCTTAATTTTTACAAAAAGCGACATAGTAGGTACCGATAGGTTCAATTACTGAAACGATGAAGTGATAATAAATTTATAACCCTGTTCAAGAGCTATATTGTCTAATTTTCAAAGAGATTATTGTTGTCCTAACGTTAGTAAATTTAGAAGAATCAATTTAATTTTTCTTTTTTTTATTAAAAACCTTGCAAATCATAAGTTAGATCTTATTGCTAGTACAAAGCAAAAACAGATAATCAGTTAAAATTTTACGGTATACAATATCAGTTAGTAGCCACGATATGTAAAATGTTGAATGCGACAGTGATTATAATGCGAGAACAAGACTCATCTTATGTACTACTAAAAATAGTATTGAATAGAAAAGGTTTTTTTTATTTTACTAGATTGTTTCCTTTTTCAATTAATGTAAATTTTTTTCCAAATTTATGAAATCAAAACAACAATTACTCATATATTATTTAATGAAATGATTATATATCATTTCAACTTTGTCGACGTTTCTCAATGCACATGATAATTAAAAATGATTTTTAAATAAAATAAGCATTTCTCTCTATATGCCCGACCAAAAAAAGAACTATTTTATTTAACTTTTCCTTTTAATTTAATACAGAATTTTATTATAGTTGATTAGAAAGCACTCATTAACCATTTTTCTGTATATGATCGACCAGAAAAATTTTATTTAACTTTTTCCTTTAACTTATATGTAAACACCAAACGCAAAAAAATGTGCGTTTAAACGTGTTTTACTTCTGAAACGCACCTAGACGCGGTTGTCTTTGCTATCGAGTTTGAGCGTAAAGAAATGATTGTAGAATCCGAAACAATTCTCAAGGTTTTTTCTCGCAAAAGACAAAATAAATGAATATTTTTCAATAGAATAGAATAGGCATATAAATTCTGAAACATCGATATTCAAAAATCGAAAGTAATAAAATTAAAAAAAAATAAACAATAATTTTCTCAAAAGGAATAGTTTGCATTATTGTAACTTTTTTAAAAGTATTTACTTTACTTTATTGAATGCACAATTTTTTCTAATAAGTAAATATATGTGTATATACAATAATAATTAAATTATTATATAGGTGCACAGAATTTTATTGATACATGTATTTATAAATAAGTTTCTAGCAGACGACTCATAGATAGTTTCTGTTTCATTCGATAAATAGTGTGACCACATGTGACTCAATGCTATGTAAGCTTGCTTTCTAATCGCTACTTCACTTGTTCTGATCTCATTTTCATCCTTTTAGAACAATCAAAGTTTAAACTTTCCGTTGGACTAAAATTAGAGGAAGACCATCTCTAGGCACCATTGATGGCGACTCAGATCAAACCTGAGACGGATTGTAATACATTTTTGAAATTTCAAATACAGATTCAACCGCGCCTAGACGCGACTTTAGTTTGAACCGCATTCGGATGCGATCTTGTTAACAATCGCGTCAATACACGTTTTTATTCAAAAAATATTTACCTAGGTAGTGTATAATTTTCATCATAGTGGATTACTCATCAATTACGAAATATTTTTCTCTATATTCCCGACCAAAAAAGAAAAAGACGAAAAAATAAAAAATAAATTTGTTTTTTTAATTTAATGCGGATGATTCACGATAATTATCAGATCAGCATAAAAATTGTGGATATGTTATTAAAAGCAAATGTTTGTGTAACAATTAAAATTTTTTCGGCGATTCGGAATGAGTATTAAAAGTCATTTATAAATATAAGTCAAATAAACAATTCTCTCAAATTTTGCGCCTAATTGAAAAACGAATTGTGCCTAAGTTTAATTTTGCCTATGACAGCTATATACACTTATGTGGACATAGTCACTACCTAATTAAAAAGCATTGTAAGATTATAAAACAATTTGTTTCTGAAATCCTTATCATGTGTACGTCATTGTTCTATCATCGGTTCTTAAATAAAATAAATTGAACGCAGTAGAAAGATGCTGAACAAAATATAGATGCCTGATTATTTTACAATAATCCATCAGAGTACTCAGAAAATGTACGATGAGTACTCGCCAAGCACTCGAGTTTACACAGCGAGTACTACTGATGAGTACTCAAACCCACGAGTACTCATGAGTTCTCGCGGCATTTTAAGCGTTACGCGTCAATTGACACGCAAGCTAAAACATCAGAAAGAAAAAGAAAATATGATAATATTGTTGTTGACAATAATGTTTCAGAGAACATTCACACGATTTATATAACGATAGTATCTCAATTCAATGCTATGCATATCGTATGTACACTGAATTTTCATCATATAACGAATATGAAAAGTATGAAGCTCTGAACAAAGAATGTGTAATTTATAACTCCATATAATAACTAGTATCTGTAACACTGACTTTCTTATTTCATTGGATAAGCAAAAAAATGCTTCTTAGGTTATTTTAGAAGATTTTTAGGGTTCGTATTCAGATAAAAAAAGATGTGATTTCTAACCTTTTTAATCTACGGAATTTTTAAAATTTTATCTCATTTGATTGTATTGTTTCGAAAGTCAAAATAGTCTAATAGAAGATTGAATAAATCGAAATCGAAATCATGTAATCTTTTAGTCTTGGTGAAGCTAAACTAATTTTAAACGACATCGTTTGATATGGAAAAATGAATTCGATATAATCATTTTCATACTAGATCTGGCAACTGCTGTTGTGCCGGAATTATAAGCCATACTACAGTGTATCTAAAATGTTTCTTAAAATTCCTTTTTCACTAAACAGCTCCTCGTATTATGAAATATTCATTTCAATGGACTATGAGTCAATCTCGAGATATTTAGACATCTATATTTCTTGCAATAAAAAAATTAACGGTCGAAAAAGATTTTTATCTGCTGAACTTAGCGATTTAATCATTAAAATATCCTAAGAGAAAGTATTTTCAGATTGTCCTATGAAATTTGTAAGACCAATAATTATTGAAAATATTACACTATAAATACTTCGTCGGATAGTAATCTTATTTATTAGGTTATTGCCCACGCGCTTTTCTTTAATGGCATTCAAAATTCATGGTGCAAAGCTAATCCACATAGGCGATGCAATTAAATAATAGCAAGTAGTCAAACTTGTATGCCTGATTTCGATTGCAGATGTATGGCTTCATATTGGAAAAAGAAAAAATTCAAATCATCTATTTTTTAATGCTTTTTCTATGTGACCGTCGAATATTTGCACAGCTCTATCGACAGTGTTTCTTTTTTTTCGGTTACACTGCGTCCTCACATCCTGTAGAAATCAGTCTGAGCAACAAAGAAAGTAATTCATTGATGAAGGAGCGAAGTGAATTAATGTACACGAACCATGAGTATTTTTAAGATGACGATGTGTAGCGTACTATTTACTTAAACTTTTTTCAATTCTCAACGAAAGGTACAACTTTTCTGCTATTTTTTTAACCTACGCATGTATTTACATTCACGACCGTTTTTGGAATTCTCTCAAGCATGTATAACTACACTTGAGCTGGCTTCAAAATATTATTAAAACAAAAATAACAGTGGATAAGATCGTAAATCGAGCATCTTTCATTAGCAATTGGTTTAGGAATTGCAGAATGTTCAGTTAATATCTCTACACATTTTTATACAACATCTTTATCATCGTTCTAGTAGCCGACAAAAAATACTAAAAGGATCGCCTGGAATAGGTATGAGTGGTTAACGTGGTCATATTGTAAGTTAAATAGTCGATTATTCACTCTAAATCTCTCATTCTTAATTATTACTTTCAAGATTGTGCGTTCGAACATTTGCCTGTTGAGTTTCGAAATCGTCTACAAGCATGAAACATTCATTAACATGATTTTGTGTCGAAAAGAAAAGAATCATCAATGCAATGTCTCAAAGTTTTATTCATTCCGTTGGGTATTGAAAACAATAATAGTGAAACTTGAGAATGTCTATGAAACGAAGGCCTACTTCATGTACTAAGTAGAACAAATTTAGAAAGATCAAATATTTTCGAATTGATAGCACGTATCGAATCATTTTTTTAAAGAATGCAGTACTCTTAAAATTACTTTAGTAGTTTGTATGTTGATCGATTGTAACCGACGTAGAGTTTGAATTGTTGTTCTAAATGAAAATTTGATACCAATCGCGTGTTTAATACAGGAAATTTAGTTAAATAATTCAATTGTAGATATTTATCTTGAACAGTTTATCTTTAGCTGGAAATGAAATATATGTAGCATATGACACTTCAGAGGTACAAAAGCTGTTGTGATTCATTGAATAATATTTGCATACGGTAAAAAATAGTTACAAAATCAGAGACACACTGACAATTTTAGCATTGTAAAAAACCATGCTAAAATCTAGATTCCATCATGATTTTCAGAATGTACTGTATTTATCGCATTAAGCAAAATATCTTTAAAACAAATATATGTGTTGATTTTCGTATGCAAAAGTGTTCGGAAGATTGGTAAGAGCAAATTTTTTTTCTTGGCACTCATTCTAGATTGAACATTTGCAAGTTAATACTCTGCATTTATTCAAGCTCAATTTACAAATGCATTACCATTTGTCAGATACATTTTAGGTGTTTCTAAACGTCGTTGTTATATCAATCTATTAAATTATTTTTTTTAGATAAATATTTTTGCGCGATCGAATCCAATCAAATAAATGTCTTTTATATATCAATTAGACCAAGAAGTAGAGAACACGCAGAAAGAAAATCATGGTTATATATATATTCTCCGTGAGTTTTTTTCAAACACATCAATTAGTGTGCTGCCAAACATAAATCGCAGTGAAAATAAAGTTAATCGGATCTTCTGGTTTATTTCTTTCATCACTTTACTGGGGATTATGATTTACTTCATGGTCGTAATATTTCAAGCGTACTTCGAATGCCCATTAAGTATGAATTCAGATGCGATTCAACAGCAACCACAATATTTTCCAGCATTCAGCTTTTGCAACGTTGGAGAATTGCGTTACGATCAATTTATTGACCCGTTTTTAAATTACACTAATGCAAACAATGTGACCAGCTCGAATGATACGACAACGATTACACGTAATCAAGCTAGTTATATCCCAAACTTCCTATTGGAACAATTGAACCAAAATAAATCATTAGAACAGTATTTTTTTTCACTCTCACCTATGCTTTATCAGTGTTCATTCGATTCTAAACCTTGCTCAGCAGCTGATTTCATTTCTTTTACGGAAGCAGGTTTTGGTTCTTGTTATACCTTCAATGCACAACTCAAAAACACTACAGCTCAAACACCTAGATATGCTATTTTAGGTGGCACTGGACTCCAGTTAGGACTTTACGTATATAGTCAACAGTATGTACCATATGTCTCAGATGGTTAGTTTATTTAAAACTTTTCACTCGAAAGATTGCTATTTTTTGGCGACTAGGTATTGGTATGATAAGTCTGCTACACAACAATACACAACCGCCGTTTCTGGATTTAACAGGAATGTACTTAAGTCCTGGACGCAAATATAAAATAAGCTATACGACAACGATTACGAATTATTTAGCTACACCAAACTCGCAATGTACTGATGATGTTCCTCAATCGATGAAAGGCATTTTAAGCAATTATCCTAGTGCCGATTATGGATATTCACAAGCTCTTTGTATTGAAAACAACGTACAGATTCAGACGTCAGTATACGAATCATGAAAATCATTATAACAATAGTAAAAGTTTTGCTAAAATATATTGTTTATTTTTAGTTACCAACAATGTGGATGTGTTAGTCCATACGCATGGGATAAGCGTGCGATAACTTTGCCCGGCACGAGTAACATCTTTATAGCACCTCTGTGTAATATTACAGATACTTGCTATTTACAAGCCGTAAGTGCGTATCTAACCGCACCGATTAGTTCAAACAGCAACAATTTTACCTGTCCAAAGAGATGCTCGAACGTGAATTTTCCTGTGGAAAAATCGGAGCTATCAACCCCACTCGAATGGCAGATGAGTGATATCAAGAGTTTTGTCGAAAATTCGTCGGTTCCATTACCAGCGAATTGGTCGGTCATGTGGCGAGACTACATTCGTATGAATTATCTATCTATAAATGTCGTCTGTGAGACAAATGTCATCGATGCTAAGCAGCAGACATTAGTCTATACCACAAATACTCTAATTTCGAATATTGGAGCTCAGGCTGGTCTATGGCTTGGCCTTACTGTTCTTGTTTTCGCAGAATTAATCGAACTTTTATATCATTTGCTTCGTTTTACATGTCAAAAAATTCGATCAAAAATGTAACGGAATAAGTAAATCGAAACAGTACGATTATCAATCATTTTTCACCAAAACGATTGTAGTCTGTAAAATATGTTGCATCTCATGCGAACATACATTATATAAATCTACATGGAAAATATTTTGAAAGTACTGTATCGTGATACTCGTTATTTAATAAATTAGTGTGCTTTTGAAATTGGTTTTTAAATAAACATGCACAAATACCAAGTGGGAACCAGCAGACTTCTTGTACTGCTTCGTACTTCTCCGTACTTTTCCGTACTTTTCCGTACTTTTCCGTACTTCGTGGTACTTCAAAAATGTATTGAATTAATTTTTTCACTTTTACTTTATAGTATTACTATTGCTATGTATTGTACTGCGCAATCGTGCCCGTGAGTTAGAAATGTCTTTTGCTCGTGGTCGTGATTGTAGTCGTGATTGAGAAAAAAAATTCGTGATCGTTATCGTGAACGACATTAAGATTTCATGATCACGAATTTAACATATAGTTTCAAAATCTCAAATATTTATTAAAATTTATTTTGTTTTCAAAGAATTTCCACTAGAATACAAAGGGTGTGTGGGTGTGGGTCACCCACACCCCGGTCATGTATGCTTATTGCAACACAGTATATACACGTACATCTAGAACAATGAATTGTACTTTATAACTTCTTTTGAAAAACTTAGTTTATGTGGGGTGTGGGTTACTAGAAAATTATCATAAAAGATAAAATAGCCTACTATGATGAACGGACTTGTGTTAACTCTTTCGTGGAAAATTGACCACAAATGCATTTTACGATAATAATTCTATCCGGCGATTCAATGCGACATTCTATTTCACCGTGGAATCTTTCTTGATCACTTATTATATCACCCCATTTAATAGTAAGGATGCTGCCATTAACTGTGCCAACACCAACATGTGACCGTCTAATTGCTTCATCGATCGCCAACCAATATATTTTATTTTGAAAAGTAGCAATTATATAACGTGTTCCATCATCACCTTTCCAACAACCACTCATTTCATTATCTGCTGTTGCCCATTTCATACTTGTATCAATTTCAAATTTGCCTACATATTCTTCAGATGTTTTACGAAAATCTGTACCAGCAAATATTTTATCACTGCCCTCGAGTTTTGTCATACTTTTATAGTCTGATGATATTCCTAGTATTAATTTACCAGAAAGTCTACAATGTCCAAGCGGCAAATCGCCCCATTGTATTATCAATTTGCGTTCATTTTTATTTATAGTACCATAACTAGTATTAGCAAAATCCCACGATGCTTTATGTTTTCGTCCAAACCAGAATACGTGTTCATCGAATTGACCTATGAAATATGTTCCGGCATCTTTTACGTTATGTTGAACATCATCACAGGTCCATACTCCAGTTAAATTACAAGGATCAACTGGGATGCATTTTTTCAACAAGACACCATAAGGGCGCACGCCATCCATCTTGTAAACCCGTATTTCCTTTCGCAAAGGATCACCGTTGCTTTCCAAGGCCCAATCGTGTTCTGTAAATGTTTTGGGATTGAAGCGACACTGAAACACAACCTTATATGTCTCTTCTTTAAATGGAGTACCAGGCAGCATTTTCACAGTAAAGCTTGCGGCATATCGCTCTGAATCGGATCCTTTGTTACAATACGTCGCAAGATATATTCCATATTCGGCCTGTGGACCTTTCTCTTGCATAGCCTTGTATTTATAGTGATCCACGACGGCTGCCTTCAATCCACCTTTTATAATCGGTGATACAGATTCCTTTTTGGTGCCGTGATAGGCAACAGGCCATTCACCAGGACCGTTGTTCATGCCCAACCAGGGTTTGTCGTTAGAATACTTATTTATGGCACGCAGCGCATGACGATACCAACCGATGGGACGGTAGTATGGACGATTACCACGTTGCTGCACCGAATCTGAGACTGGGCAATTGCGATAATCCCGATCGTGGCTCGGTTCAAAGTCGCTGGGTTGTAGCTGTAATGTGCTAGGTATTTGTTCCCATTGGATAGGATAGTGAGCTGGAACAGTTTTCGAAAGCACAAGTAAGTCAACCGAAAAAGGTTTTGTTGCTTCCTCCACAAATTTCTTAGCAAGATCTTGCGTATAGCTTTGATCGGGTGTGGTGAATCCCCACTTCGTCGTTAAACTACCACGTGCAAGTTCAAACACACGAACATACTCCGGCTTGCAACTGAACGTTTTAGCGATATCATTGATGAAAGAAACTACAAAATTTCGCATTGTATTTTCGGTCGATGTCACATCTTCATACGATAAATTCAACTTCAGATTAAACGTCGCTGTTTACAAAGGTCCATCTTCGGCCAAACTAAACAAAGGCATAGTAGAAAGATTGACTATACCACAGGCAGCGCTGTCGATACTGCTTTTGAACGTACATGGTGTACTTGTAAAGCTCGTCTGTATCCCCTTCGATTGAGCGAGCATGTCAAGTACTACAATAAGTGTCTCAGTTGAGTCCACATTCGGTATGAATGGCTCTGCAACAAAATCGATTTGTTTCTTGTGTTGCCCATCTCGTACAGCACGGTACTTCGCTAGTATGTCGAATGGTCGACGTACTTCCTTGTCACTTGTAGGTGTTACTGTTGATGGATACCGAATGGAAGTAGTAACCGCAGTTTCCTCGAACCATGCAGGAGTGACAGATATTGTGATACCAGTCGCAGTGCTTTTCACCGTTGAAACTTGAGGAATGCTTCGTGAAACATTAAATATGTTTCCACTTAGAGGGTTTGGTGGATTTAATGGCGATGACTCTAACGATGAAACAACATACTGAATGCATATGAGCTGTACTATTGAAATTTACTTGGATCTACAAAAAATACGGTATAAAGCCACCAAAAACAAGTTGCAGCACGTGAGTACAATATGTTTGTTTCTCTCTGTCGCAGGGAAATTTGGCAAGTAGATCTATAGCATTATATAGCTTTGCCATGTTGAACTGCTTTAGAACTGATATTCAAGGTTTAGTTTAATACAATGTCCCTTAGACCGATACAAAGAGATCTAGAATTGTATGTCTGTATGAGCGTCCATCTATAAATGCAACGTGTTTAAAAACTCATCTGCTGCTCTATTATTCAACATTGTAAGCTGAAATGAACGAATACTGAAATAGCAGCTTTTTAAACTCGTCATACACTGTGTCTGAAAGTCTGCCGCTGCCGCACCGCTATGCTCCAAAAAAAGCTACCGCGCCACAGCGAGGAAAAGCACCCTTTATATACGAGATATGGCGAGGCGGAGGGCTTGAAGGACTTTAGAATTCCTTAGAATATATATGTAATTACATATACATATATATGTACCTTTTATTTTGGATGCGGAGCTTGCGAGGCTTTAGATTTCTCACACATATTAAAGAATTTTAAATCCCCGCAAGCCCCTCGGTCCGTTTGAATTCGAGTGCTTGTGTTTTTTCTCTAATTTCTAATTGAAATCAAATGGCCCATTGTATGCTATACCTGGACGATTCAATGAAGTAAGTGTTGTGTTCCATGCTTCAGTGGTTTCTGGATATCTTGCTTGAGCATCAACCGAACGTAATTCGACCTGCCGAACTTGTAATAAATGGTTGTCGATTACATGCCATTCTTTGTTCAGTTCGTCAGTAGCAACTGATGGTATCACTGATGAGAATGTGATTATGTAATAATGGATACGTACAAATATGCTCGTTGCAGATTTCAGATAATTATTAGATGATACCGATGGTAGAGAGGACATATCCACCTACAGAATAAAAATATGTTGTATTTGCATTACTATAGCTGCATACAATAGAGGCTTTCTAATGGAAACAGCCAGGTTTGCGCATCTTTTCGCAGAAGGGATTTTCTACTACTTGGGCGAAGATGAGCGTGCGGGGCAGCGATGGAATAGGTATCGGCATAAAGTTCCGACTGGTTTCGTCTCTGCCTCCATCCTTACATCTTGTATACACCACATACCCACACTCATTAACATCATTTATCTCGATAACTCCATTGTCTGCTACATCTCTCTTCTCGATATTTAATTGAGTTTTCTTGGAAATCCAGATAACGCAGCATACGCAATCAAGATATAATTAATCTTGCTTACAATGTGAGCACACAAATGTTAACGATTTTTAGAATAAACAAGGTGTGATTGAATCCCATGGAATTTCCCACGTAGGGTTTTTTCTCGTTTTCTTATATCTTCAGCTTACCAGTTCAAGTGTATCAATGGTGCCAAAACGACCGAAGTAGTTCAGCAGAGTTTGCTCGGTCAATGTGGTCGGCGTTGGTCCAACAAAGATTTTATTCGGGGAACGACTGGCCATCGATGTTGAATAATACTCAATGTGAAGGCCACAAAAAAATATGCAGACGTGTGTGTAAGCAACCTTTTGCGATGAAGGTGAAGTGAATGAAAATGTTAAGTTTCTCCAGCACGCATGTTGAAATTATTCTAAAGCAAATGGTAACCACTATACGTATGTCCTTTTCTCTGGGACGCTGTGAGTGTGGATGTGCGCGAAAAGAACATAACCACCCACCCTTCGTTGTCGAATATTCTCTATAAATAATCTTTTATATAGAGCAATGACTGATTAAAAGAATAGTATCGACCAAGGATTTGTGCTCGTTTTGTGTTAATATAAAATGTACAGTTTTCTTGCGTTGAATTCTACTAATTGTTGGAAAAAAATCAATGTAATGCGAAACGCTTTCGATGATCTACAGTAGCAAAATAAACAGCTGACGGATGAGTTTTAATGTTTCATTTTATAACCACAGAACTCATTTTTGATAGATTTGAACATTCAATGTTAAGTATTTGTATGTTAATCATGATCAAAGTACATAATAATAATAATAATGCTCGTTACAATAGAACAAAACATGGTATAAGAAACAAGCACGATAAATATGCAGTTTTTCTCTTTTATTTAAATACGATTAAATTTTCACTTATAAATATACAATTTTAATCAAACTAGAACGTTAATACATTATGCCATATTGAAAATAATCATTTCTTTCTTTTCTCTGTTATGCTCATATTTTCAAGATATCTTCAATGATTCATTATGTTCTTTTTTACCGTATAATCTATTACATTTACTCTAGATTGTCTTCAGTCTGTTGTTTTCATATACCAATGCATCAATATTTTCTCTATAAATAATTGTCAGTGCCTAAATCATACAACTCCCCTTGCTAAACTCCTCAAAAAAAAATTTTTTTCTAATATTTTTGGTATTAATGTTGTGGCGTCAAATAAAAAACGATTATTATTATATTTAGGTTCATTAACATGGCATGAAATAATATAAAATCTATTGTTTTTTTAAAAATAAAATACTGATTTTACTTACGTAATAACATTTGTGTTTATCGTATACAATATCGATAGGACGAGGTCGTTGATTTTTGACAGCATAGCTATATTTTTGATTTTCTATTGAATCATTCTATTTAGTCTATTTAGTCTGTTACACATTGATCAATGCAAGACCTACATTTAATAGATTAAATATACTTTCGGTGTTTGTTTGTTAATTTCTATATAAAGACATCTATCATTCATTCAGGATGACAATATAAGAGCTATAAAAAAATGAGTAGTGATAAATCATGGAAAAGTAGTGCATTTTAAGTTTCTTATAAAGAATTGAATCCATACTGTTTAATCATTTCAATTTGGAATGTTGTTTGAATATGCTCTTTTATCGTAGATGCTTTGAAAAATAATATTCTTCAATCATATACGCACATTTGTTTGTTTGACAGATGCATCGAATCAATAGAAAAAATATTCCGAAATGTACGATTGGTATTTCTATATTATTCCCTTATGAACTTAGAATATAATTTAATTCATCGAAAGTATATTTATTTAAGGTATCCATATATTATAACTTGATCCTCTTTACGATACGTACTACATAGTAAATAACAGAAGCGATCGTTGATATCTAGCCATCGATCTTATGTAAAGGATGCATTAAGATTTAATATACATGCCTATCTATATGATTCAATCGGAAAAACATAAATGCATGTAAATATATGTTGTCATCGATTTTTGAAATTTTTATTTTTCAAAGTTTGCATGAACATGCACAAACTATTCGTGCAAACGTTTACATGCAATATTTATCAGTGAACTTTTCTTGTTCGAATAGCTTCTGTATGTACAAGCGAATATGGTTTCATCTTTTACAGAAAAATGCAGGCATTTACATACAAGTATTATCCTGCATTGACACGCCCTAAAGCATGTGCAAAATACCCATGCGAACATGAATATTATAGTGCGTTGGCATACGTTTTTGAACAAATCGCGTTTGACTGGGATACTGGAAGTCCATAATCTCTATTTCTGATTAGCTTTCTCTCATTGGCAGAAAATATCCCTCCTGCTTTTAAGACTTCGGTATAATACATCTGCAATAATACTTTGCTTCTTTCTTTGAAGTTACGTTCATTTCTGTCACTTTTTTTTTTATGAAAGTTCGTACTATAAAAATAATTCATTTGCTATCGGAAATATTATCGTTGTTCCGTCTAATAGCGAAAATCTTAAATAGTAATTCATAAGAACTCGAATCTATTATGTAACCAAACAGTAAGACTCATAGCATTTGATAACCACCATTGATAATCAAAAAATCAGCCTTCTCTTCTTGGTATTGATGCTATACATACGTATATTGAACCGTGATCTTTTTTTATTTTATTAATGAATTATGAAATGGAATACTAATACATAGATTAGTTGAAAGCATCAACAGGCATAATGAATATTTTTCCTTCATATCAACAGACCCTAACAGTCAAGATTTAAATATTCAATGATGGCCTTAACGGCAATGGCATAGCCACTGACAAAAATCGTTGAAAGAGGTACACCTGGTAAGCCGTTAGAATCAAGTTTCGAATCTATGAAACGAGTACATATATCACCGAGTTGTACGCTAATTATACAGCCGAACGCGATGCACGCTCTTATTGTAATCGAAGAATTTGTAGATGCAACCAATAACAATAAGAGATCGTAGGCAAAAAAGTCACCCCATCCAATGATTGAAGTGTACTCATCCTTGTATTCTACATCATCGTTCAGTTCATTGATATCCTTTGAGAAATAGAACCCGTATGGAGCAGTTGGATAATCAAACGACACAGCGTCCTCTATTGATTTTGCTACAGGATCATACATACCATATATTGGATGCAAAGATGTGATACTATTTTGAAAAAAAGAAAGAAACATTAAAGTCTTTTGTATGAGTAAAACAGAAAGAATAGATTTAGAGACGATAACCGAAATTCAAAAGATCATACTTTTTAAGAACTCGTTCCAAAATCGTTAGAGCTGACAGCAAGTATATTATAAGATACATTTCACATAATGAGGACTTTTTTCCAGAAAAACATTTATTATCCATTCAAAAATAAAACGGACTCGATCGTAAGTTGAATAACTTTTGACAGAAAACATCTCGAGAATTGCAGTTTTCATTTTTCGAAAGAGCAGAGATAACTTTATCAATTCATATAAAATTAAAAAATCAAGCAACGGTCACCATTTTAGAAACGACGTACTTAAAAGCAGTTATTTGACAGAGAAAATTAGAACCTTTCGATCTACGTAAGACCCATCTTTCTAGATGTTTCTATTAAGAAATTCTGAACCTTTTTGCGGAGAGATCCAAAACAGACGTATTAATTACTGGTGAATTTGCTATAGCTTTGCATTGAGAGTTTTCACAGCAATATAAAAAATTGAACCAAAATTGCCATGTCTTAAGTTTCATTTGAGCTGTACGCGCGAGCAATGAATTTCTATTGTAGTTTAGAAATAGAAAACAAATGCCACTACTAACTTCAGTACGATCAAAACTCTTCATATAAGGTCATTTCAAATTTGCCTATAATTAGTGAATCTATTTTGAGAGCTTTGAAAAAATACTTATAAATTGCAAATAGAACTATCCATAAAGAGCGGTTTTATGTAGACCAAAAGGCCTTGATTCTCTTTATAAAATGAACAAACACGCAGTGTAAAACTTTATAGGCACATCGTTTCTAAAATTATCACTGGAAAGTAAACAATGGAGACCATTGCTTGATTAAAATATCGCTACTCTTTCGACAAATGAAGATCAAAGCTCTCCAACCGTTTTCTTTTCAAACTTTTTCGATTTGCAACGGGGTTCATTATATTTTTGAATGAATACGAGTTTGATGGCAGCATTTTATCATTGTTTGTTATTTATTGACATGACCTGTAACTAGTGTTGATCGTAGGTGATTCAAGTCTATTTGGGTTCGTATGCAAAGACGTGTCAATTGCTTTCATTTGATTTAGTTCAGATGGAAACATATTATAGGGAGCAATCTCCGAAAACTAAAGAGAAATCATTCATTCATGAGGTGTTTTTCATAAAACTCTGTTCGGGGTCTTACCGCTTTACGCGCTCGTTATCCATGATAAACACAGATTCTTTGTGGCTGTGTTTCGTAGCATAAAAAGTCAGAAAAGAAAATTTGTGTCAATAGAAATAAATCGATTTTTAATACACAAAACTATCTGTATCAATAGAAAGTAACCATTTCTCTTTTCTATGTTCACACTTTGACGCAGCTTAAATATTACGATAACAAAAGAAAACTATGTACAGATTTTGTTGAGTCTCACGTCTGTTTCTAGATATATCGACGTCTTCAGAGTTTTGAACGATCAACTGTTGACCTCATGATTACCACGAGCAATGTTATTATGAAAAAGATACGTGGCTATTAAAGAAATAAAAACTATTTATATTTACTAACATGTCTAGTACAGACATTAGCCACAGGTAGACATAACCGAGATATGTGGGCATAAGTCGTAATAGGACATCATATACTAAAAATGTCAAAAATGCCATCGATAAACAAGTCGCTTTTTGATGAACAGTATGAGAAAGATAAGATAAATCTTGATTAAGCCATTTATAAATAAGAGAAACGAATTGCCAAACAAAGAAGTAGACGGTGACAATGTCGACTTCATACCACATATCGATATTAACGCAGCAACAAGCCAAGAGCCAATTACAAGTAATTGTCAGTGATAAAAGTGCAATGATATTCCGTAGCTGTCGAACAGTAATATATAACAGGCAGGGTATAATAGTAAGAAGAATTATTATTAACAGGGGATACCCAATGTCTGTATTATCGCTGACGATGTAGGAGGCGCAGGATTGATGATCTAAGCAAATTAAAAGAAGATATGAAGTCTACGGCTCATGAATACCTACCCAACGAATAATAAAGCCAACATCGTACAACCAGTGCATATTCGCGACATGGATCTGCAAGCATATTCTGAAAAAAATTGCCACTTGCTCTTGTGCCTTTTACAGCACAATCGATTACGAACGTGATGAGCATACTCAACATAATTGCCATAAATATGTTTATGCGATTTTTCATTGCGACGCTAATTTTTATTAAGACTGAATAAACACAAATAGTTGGATTTCGTCTGCTTGTATTTTGAATAAAATCAATATTGATAAGTACTGATGAAACGATCGTTCATTTTATGTTTGACAATTTTGTTCAATTGAACGAATATCGTCAATTTATCATCCCAAGTCACTCCATCCTGCCTCCGGGTTCAGTCGGGATCCTTCGGAACCGGCACCGGATAACACCAGAAGACGGCATGATTCCCACTCAAATCTGCCAGGATCCGGCAGGGATTTTGCCGGAATCTTTGCTCCCGGAAACCCCGTCGGAATTCAAAGGAAAATGATCCGGTCGTTTCTTGCCGGATAATACAACCGAACATTGTCGCAACCGATCCACTCGGACTACCGGATGATGCCGGTTTCATCACACATTTGACCGGATTCCATCCAATTCCGACGACAAGGACCTCATAAAAAATCTCTCATACAAGCGTTCTTGAATCAAAACGTGAATCAAATATAGTCTTCAAACACACGCACACCAACC